AGTGACTGCTAGGAACAAACTATGACGATGCAGTAAACATGTTGGAAAAAGACAGTGAAAGTGCAGGAAAATGCAATAACAACCAGAGGAAATGGTGCAAAAACGATTGGAAAATGAAGGAGACGGGTAAAACTCTTGGAAAAATACATTGAAAATGCAGCAAACCAGAGGAAATGGTGCAAAAAGGAGACGGGTAATAATCTTGGAAAAATAGATTAAAAATGCATGAATAGACTGAAAACCCACGAAGAGGATATAGAAACTGCAGGAAAACATGATAACAATCAGAGGAAATCGTGCAAAATCCACTGGAAAGAAAACAGTACAACATGGAGGACACGCGTGAACATGCTAGGAGGCATGTAACATGTTAGAAAAATACGTGAAAACCAAGGAAAATGTTATATCTATTTATATCTAAAAATGCTTTAAAAAATATAGTGAAAACCAAGACAATGTTAACGAGCGGAAACGATGGAAAGACCAGTGGCGCGCAGGAAAATCTGCGAAAACGACGTTAAAAAAGAGGAAAAGTGTTGGAAATTGGTGGACAAAAATATAGCAATTTACAGACCTGCTTCCCCCCCCCCCGGGTTTCGAAAGTAGTGGCAGAAGTGTTGAGAACGCTAGGAAAATGTATTGCGACGAGTGCAAGTGGAGAACGTTAAAAGCTAGAGGGTTGGAGAAGTGGAGTGATCATGGTACCGAATGAAAGTAAGAGATGTGTTGGAGAGCAGCAGATCGGATGACTGTACCTCCGTTTGATTGGTGAATGGGACGTCTTTCCAAGGTGTGAAAGAACTGATAGATCACCTGGATAAAACATATTGAAACCCCACGAAGAGGATGTATTGGAAAATACAATGAAACTTGAGGAAAGCATGATAACGATCAGAGGAAAATGCTAGGAACAAACCATGCAAAATCTGTTGGAACATGGAGGAAACCGGAGTGACTGCTAGGAACAAACTATGATGATGCAGTAAACATGTTGGAAAAAGACAGTGAAAGTGTAGGAAAATGCGATAACAACCAGAGGAAATGGTGCAAAAACGATCGGAAAATGAAGGAGACGGGTAAAACTCTTGGAAAAAATACATTGAAAATGCAGCAAACTAGAGGAAATGGTGCAAAAAGGAGACGGGTAATAATCTTGGAAAAATAGATTAAAAATGCATGAATAGACTGAAAACCCACGAAGAGGATATAGAAACTGCAGGAAAACATGATAACAATCAGAGGAAATCGCACAAAATCCACTGGAAAATGCTCGAAAGATACAGTGAAGGAAAATGCAGGAAAATGTGATAACAACCAGAATAAAGGGTGCAAAATCTGTTGGAACATGGAGGAAACCGGAGCGACTGCTAGGAACAAACTATGACGATGCAGTAAACATGCTGGAAAAATACAGTGAAAGTGCAGGAAAATGCGATAACAACCAGAGGAAATGGTGCAAAAACGATTGGAAACTGAAGGAGACGGGTTAAACTCTTGGAAACATATATTGAAAATGCATGAAATGCAGGAAACGAGAGGAAATGGTACAAAAAGCTCAGAGGAAAGCGGTGAAAATGGTAGGAAGCATGTAATAAAAAAAGCTGGACAAAACACAGTGAAAACCTACAAAAGAGAAGAAAGTAACCACAGGAAACGGTAGAAAAAGCAGTGGAAACTGGAAGAAAAGTTGTGACAATATTAGGAAAACAGTGTACAAGCTAGGAAATGCTTGTAACAACTAGAGGAAACGATGTAGAAAACAGTACAACATGGAGGACACGCGTGAACATGCTAGGAGGCATGTAACATGTTAGAAAAATTTCGAAAGCCAGCTAGCTGGCTAGTTGCTGTTTGCGAACGAAGTGAGAATAGGGGGTGTGGGGGAGGGTGGTTGCCGAAACGGACCGAAATCTCGCCGTGCCCCTGTGTTGAGCGCCAGAAAATGGAGCATTTTGCTGGATTATGTACCACTAGGTAATTTGCTGACGGTGGGGTATCGATTCCCCCTAGGCCCGCCTTTTTGGTGGCCGGAGAGACCATGAGGATGTATTGGAAAATACAATGAAACTGCAGGAAAACATGATAACGATCAGAGGAAATCGTACAAAATCCCCTGGAAAACGGACGAAAACGGAGCGAATGCTAGGAACAAACCATGGAAACTCCCTTGGAAAATGGAGGAAACCGGAGCGAATGCTAGGCGCAAACCATGACGATGCAGTAAACATGCTGGAAAAATACAGTGAAAGCAGGAAAATGTGAAAACAACGAGAGGAAAGGGTGCAAAAAGGATCGGAAAATGAAGGAGTCAGGTAAAACTCTTGGATTAATATTAATATTGAAAAGGTATGAAAATGCAGGAAACCAGAGGAAGTGGTACAAAAACCTATGGAGGAAAGAGGTGAAAATGATAGGAAACATGTAGTAAAAAAATGCTGGACAAAACATATTGAAACCCCACGAAGAGGATGTATTGGAAAATACAATGAAACTTGAGGAAAGCATGATAACGATCAGAGGAAAATGCTAGGAACAAACCATGCAAAATCTGTTGGAACATGGAGGAAACCGGAGCGACTGCTAGGAACAAACTATGACGATGCAGTAAACATGTTGGAAAAAGACAGTGAAAGTGCAGGAAAATGCGATAACAACCAGAGGAAATGGTGCAAAAACGATCGGAAAATGAAGGAGACGGGTAAAACTCTTGGAAAAATACATTGAAAATGCAGCAAACCAGAGGAAATGGTGCAAAAAGGAGACGGGTAAAAATCTTGGAAAAATAGATTAAAAATGCATGAATAGACTGAAAACCCACGAAGAGGATATAGAAACTGCAGGAAAACATGATAACAGTCAGAGGAAATCGTGCAAAATCCACTGGAAAATGCTGGATAGATACAGTGAAGGAAAATGTGATAACAACCTAGCAGGAAAATGTGATAACAACCAGAATAAAGGGTGCAAAATCTATTGGAACATGGAGGAAACCGGAGCGACTGCTAGGAACAAACTATGACGATGCAGTAGACATGCTGGAAAAACACAATGAAAGTGCAGGAAAATGCGATAACAACCAGAGGAAATGGTGCAAAAACGATCGGAAACTGAAGGAGACGGGTAAAACTCTTGGAAACATATATTGAAAATGCATGAAATGCAGGAAACGAGAGGAAATGGTACAAAAAGCCATAGAGGAAAGCGGTGAAAATGGTAGGAAGCATGTAATAAAAAAAAGCTGGACAAAACACAGTGAAAACCTACAAAAGAGAAGAAAGTAACCACAGGAAACGGTAGAAAAAGCAGTGGAAACTGGAAGAAAAGTTGTGACAATATTAGGAAAACGGTGTACAAGCTAGGAAATGCTTGTAACAACTAGAGGAAACGATGTAGAAAACAGTACAACATGGAGGACACGCGTGAACATGCTAGGAGGCATGTAACATGTTAGAAAAATACAGTGAAAACCTAGGAAAATGTTATATCTAAAAATGCTTTAAAAATATAGTGAAAACCAAGACAATGTTAACGAGCGGAAACGTTGAGCAGGAAATCCGATTTGGTTTCTGTAGATAATGTTAGATGATGAGCAATGTAGTTTGGTGATAGGAAATAGTGGCTGACTCGCGTACAAGACATTGCCATGAAACCTTGGAGCAAGATGCGGATGGTATAGGAAAAAAGATGTATGAGTTGTAAGATTTTAAGAGTTGCATGGGAAAATTGGTTTCATGGTAACCTGTGTGAAGTTAGAAAAGTGTGATTTCGTTCACAGAGTAAGAAAAAAAATACAATCTGCAGATTAGAGTATTTATAATGCTTAAAGCTGTTTCACGTTTTTTGGTGCCTCCCTGATTCTGGTAGTTTTGTGATAAGAACTACAAAAACGATCTACTGGTAAACGGAAGGAATAGTCTTTCCGGTTTAGAACTGAGTCGACTGTCAAGTGATGCATAGGCTCCAGGCCTCTGGTTATTGTCACAAAGCATTGGAATGAAGATTGCGCCCAGGAGCCACCTAGGTTAGGAGACAAATGCTGTAATATCATTGTAAGAGGCCGTACTGAGAAGGCTGAAACAGAACTAAAAGTGAATCTTGTACTAAAACATCGAGAAAGAATTTGAATCTTCTAATGGCAATGACGGGAATGATATGCATCTGTACGTCCGTGATAGTATGTGTGCCTTTTAAAAGGGATGTTTGGCGAGTGTGATAGCTGAGAAGATTTTCCGGGATGCCAAACAATTATCTCTATCGATGTCAGGGATGATGCTATTCCGCGACATTTCCTGTAAAATACCTATTTTCCAGACCCTTGGGGGGTGGGGGGGGTACCCAGGTCTGTAAATGGCCTAAATATATATACTTTTGATTTGGACTGCATGTTCGCCACTGTTCTATATTTCCCGTGGGTTTTGCATTGTTTTCCTCGATTTTCATTCGTTCTTATACCCTTTCTTACGTATGTTATAATATTGTCTTGGGTTTGCACTGCCCATTTTGCGAGTAGAGCTATGTTTTGATTTCTCACCGTACGGCCAAAATGTTGCGGAACTTCGCGGAGAAGCATGGACCACGATTCTGGGGAGAAAACAATTTAGACTGTTGAGAGGTCACATGACCACTGTTCACACAAAAAAGCGGGTATTATTTATCTACAATAGGTGGGAGCAAACTTGCGCTGTTTTAAGATAAATGAGCAACCAAAGGCGGATTTACGGAACTTGAGATAGAACTTTTCACAATGCCGCAGTACATTGTAGGAAACATATTTGGATATAGAAGTTACAAAATCGTGGAGTTTACCCTAAAAAGGACCATTTAATGATTGGAAAATTATGACCCGATAGCAATTGTTGATGTTGGGGCGCTTCATGTTTGAGCCATGCCATATGGATGAGGTGGAGTTTCACGCGCCCCCGCGCGAGTCAAAAAGCAAGCGCTGGCTTTCGTTCCACCCCTTCTCAGGTATTGTATAGCAACTGAAATTTGAAGTACAGGTTGGAGCATGCTCCGGTGATGCCTGTGCGGCCAGTCGCAACCCCGGACGTTTGCCGCCTCCCAAGTGTTCCAATCGCAACTGAAAAGCCCCAGGTGCGACGTCCAGCTCCTGTGGCTCCTGTGGCTCCACAGCAGGTGTGGATCATCGGTTGAGGGACAGGACATGGACTGGCCAGTGCCACAGGGCAATGCCAGTTGCCCTTGGAAGGCCATTCTTCGACCTGGAAAGAAGGAGGAGAAGGCTGGGATCTAACAAGTCGAGAGGTCAACACGCAGGATGTCGACCTTGCTCTGGAGCCTGTTGCGATGATGCCACAGGAACGGGATCGAGATCGTGACCGGCGCGGAGAAACCCGAAGGCTTGGGCAAGGGTCAGTTGGCCGGAGGGAAACCTGAGCAACATTTGAAATTAGTTTGCAATGATTTTCTGGGCAATTAATTATAATTAATTTCTAGTATGTGAGGAGACACCTATTTGGATCTGCTTGGCTTATCGAATTGGACAACTGTCCTCATTTTTTTGTACATCTAGCTCGAGCCTGACTACACCAAAAGGTACGCAAAAGTAGCTATGGAGCAAAGGTTCCAGTTGGTTCCAGGGATTGTGACATGCCATATAGTATGCCATAGAACTTGCCGTGTTTCATATAACTTATACTTGTACAAACTTATACTTAAAACTTATAACCCTTTCTGTAGCACCTTTAGTAGATGCTTCAGCTGCAGGGAAGAGAAGACCGGCCGAGTTGAAGCCTCAGATTCCGTATCGATTGAGTCCCTTTGAGGTGCGGCTGTCACCTGCAAGAGGCCTGCGGTAGCATTGCAAGGATAGGTAGTTAGTGCTTGACCTGGCATGTTACTATTATTGGTACTATCAAAATTCTTTTAATTATACTACATTTATATTAGTGTTGTATGGATTGGAAGAAAACATTGTTGCACAAAGCTGTAGAGATTCCCTGCACTCTTCTAAGTAGTTCAAGATGACTTTCGAAGTCTTTAGTACAAGCATTCTTAAACATTTTTTAAATATTCTTTCTCGCATGTTGGAGGGAAACAAAAGCTGATTGACAGAGCTCTTGAGCCACTTAGGATCGTGACCGTGATCGCGACCGTGACCGGGATCGAGACAGGGACCGCCGAGTTTTCGCCTTGGGCTGACAATATAGTTCTCCCGACATTGGAAGCCTGGAGCTTTCTCTTGTTTTTTCCTTCTTTCTCTTGTTTTTTCCTTCTTTTTCATTCTTTTTCCTTCTTTTTCCTTCTTTTTCCTTCTTTTTCCTTCTTTTTCCTTCTTTTTCCTTCTTTTTCCTTCTTTTTCCTTCTTTTTCCTTCTTTTTCCTTCTTTCTCTTGTTTTTTCTTTCTTTTTCCTTCTTTTTCCTTCTTTTTCCTTCTTTTTCCTTCTTTTTCCTTCTTTTTCCTTCTTTTTCCTTCTTTTTCCTTCTTTTTCCTTCTTTTTCCTTCTTTTTCCTTCTTTTTCCTTCTTTCTCTTGTTTTTTCCTTCTTTTTCCTTCTTTTTCCTTCTTTTTCTCTTGTTTTTTCCTTCTTTTTCTCTTGTTTTTTCCTTCTTTTTCTCTTGTTTTTTCCTTCTTTTTCCTTCTTTTTCCTTCTTTTTCGCTGTTCATGATTTTTCTGTTTTTTTTCATGACCACAATGAAACCATCTAAGGATCGCGATCGCGATCGAGAGAAGGAGCGTGCCAAGGACTGCAACCATGATGTTTCTTACCGCGTCACTGACGACTCTTGTGTTGAAGATTCTCTAGAGCAAGAATGCAGTTGAGGATTGACATCAAGTCCAAGGATCGCACATAAATTGAAAGTGGTCTCTGCTAAATGTTGTAGGAAAAGGAGAAGGAAAAAGAGCGGGAGAAGGTACGGCCGGTCAGAGAGCTTCATGACTGGACCAGTGAAATGGCGCCATGCAGAGTCCTTGTGGTGAACATTGCTTGTGACAACTGGGTGCAACTCTTGCCAGGAGAAAGAGCGCGAAAAAGCGAAGGCACTGAGATTTTTCATGATGCCTCTCCTGGGTTTTGGAAAGCGAACAGACTTTTCCAACCGCTTGGCTCCTTTGACACTATTCACTTGTGCTCGAAGAGTATCACATAACATTGTACTATATAAGAATAAAACTAATAATAGTAATAATAATAATAACACTAATAATAAATACATATATATACACACATCATATATACACATATTACCGATTTAAAGAAATACCTATGGATAGACATTTTGAAAGTAAATGCACAACAGCTTGCAAGCAGAACATATTCGATGAGATCCGACAAGTACACCAATTCAGCAGCACACATCAAGTGGCCAGTAGCTGCTACTTCAGGCGCGAAAGGCGCGAGAAGAGGAGTCTGATTCCGAAGAGGATTCGGAAGAAGAGTCCATTCCCAAGGCCCCAAGATTGTAACATGGAAACAGGGCTTCTGGGTGCTTTTGTATATTTAGCACTATTTTGATCTATTTTGATTATTTTGTTAGATTTTTCTGCTATCGGCTATAGTCTTCATGCGCTTAAAGAAGCATGCAGACAAAACTTTTTTACTTCGACACTTGCAAGATCAGTCTTGAATTTCCGATAGGAGGGGGGCTGAAGTCTTGCCGACGGTCGCCAACGGCAGCTGCAGCTGGAAAGTGTTTTCATTGATTGCGTGAGTTGCTGGGCCTTCCTCGTGACATGTGAGGCAAAGGCGAAGAAGCCAGCTCCGAAGAAGGCAGAACCTAAGAAGGAAGAAAAGAAGGAGAAGAAGGAGGATAAGGAGGAAAAGAAGGCTTCACTGGCTCCCTGGATCACTTTTGTTTTTGGGACCTCGTGACCTAATCGTGACATCTCGTGACCTTGTGTTCATTTAGCTTGAATTTTCCCTCAGGCACCTGCAAAGGCCAAGGTGAAGGAGACCAAGGAGAAGGCAAGCTGTGACGGAGAGGTGATCCAGATCTGGAGCACTTGGCCCACTTTTGGACTTAGACGACTTAGACGACTAGCAACATGCAGGTTTGCTTTCAAAAAAGGGCCAAGTGATTTCGAATCAGTCGTTGGATGGGTGAAGAATGGTCAAAGGATGGAGGCTTTTTTTGGATGGTTGGCCGCGTGTATCTTTGAAGGCTTGACTCCAAAAAGCTGCTAAGAGATGCAAAGAGAAGAATCCCCCGATGGCTATGGCCATTTTAGTTGCCTGAAGAGCCCGGCAAATTGTGATGTTGATTAAAATCGATTACAACGAGGCTAGCCATACTGCCAAAACAAATAGATGCCTCAGCCCCTGATCCAGTTGAAGGGAATTTGTGTCAGGAAGAAGATAAGAAGAAGGCGGCGGCCAAGAAGAAGAAGGAGGAACGTTTGCGGTGTTTTGGGATTTCCCTAGTTTCATACCAGCTATATCTCATGGTATCCAATGGTATCCCAAAGTTTCATATCATATCCACTCCATCTGGGTGTCTGTCCTTCCGACACATGCCACCAGGCTGAGCCTGAGAAGAAGGTCAAGAAGGCTCGACAGTTGCAGCCAGCCACTGCTCGTGTGCTGCGTATGCTTGCTGTAAGTCACTGTAAGTCACTGTAAGTCACTGTAAGTGGTCGATATTGGTCGAGAAGAGATTCGATTGCACCGCACTTGCTCTTCAGAGATCAGTTCTTGGGGCATCGCCAGTAGCTCAAGACGAGGTGACCGAGAAAGCTAAGACCAAAGAGAAAGCCGAAAAGAAGGATGAGGTCAAGGTGCCTTAGTGAGGGCTCTCGGGAAAGAAGCCATTGGCTCCGGTTTTTTTGAATGGTTTTAGTATCATGTGCTATCGGTATCTATCGGCGATATTGACATCACTTATTTGCCACCGGTCACGGCATCACCATTAACAGATGGTAGAGGGAGGTCATGCTGCAGGCGAAGCCAAAGGCTAAGGAGAAGGAGGAAAAGGTAGAGAAAGCTGAGAAGAAGGCAAGCGTGGCAAGACATGAACACATGAATTATATATTTTTTGATCGTAATATGTTTTGAATATATTATGATCAACATATAATACAACACAAGGTACGTATGCCGTATGCTGAATATTCTTGTGACCTGAATTTGCAAGAGTTTAGCCTTTTAGGTGTTCTTGGTGTCATGGCAAATAGCAAACCCTTGAACATGTTGGCAATCACAGATGCCTCCTTGGTAAGGTCGAAAAGCCAAAAGCCACCAAAAAGGAGGAACCTGCCAAGGATGGGTTCTTAGCCAAAAGCAATGTCAAGACTCAAGACTGTGGTGGCTTTGATCAAACCTTGGAAGCAGGGTTTGAACATGTTTACAGGGTAGAAGGATGTGCTGAATGGTTTGAAGTGTGCTTCTGCAGGTTGAGAAGGCCAAGAAGACCGATAAGGCAAAGGCCCAGGTGCCCCAAAAATAAATTTGTTTTGCATGCTTCTCCACCAGTTGTTGAGCACTTGCACGCCGAAAGGATTGCACATCTCAGCTCGGCAACAAGCAATGGCTTGAGAGAACCCCCGGCCTGGCTTTGGCTCTCGCAGGCCGGTGAAGCCGCAAAGAAGGCCGTGAAGGCAGCTCCACGGGCATATACTGTCCCGGGTTTGCCAATATTTGGGAAGTGAGATGTAGTGAGATATAGTGAGATAGTTTTAAAGTGTTTGGCCAAGGTAGCAGATTCAGCTTTTTGTGCTTCAAACAGCTGATTCTTCGGTGTTGGAGCCATGGGTCCGCGCCAGGCCACCATAGCCAAGGAAAAGAAGCCTGCCACAAAGGAGAAGGACCCAAAGGCCAAAGCGAAAGGCACCGATGACTCTGCCCGTCTATGGCCAGCAACAAAAACAGAGTGGCCAATTCTTTGAGTTTGACATGAATCGTTGGAAACCCACTTCAGCTCGAAGATGAAATCACCTTTTCACTTGGCACAAGCGCAGGCAAAGTGAAGACAAAGAAGAAACAGCATCAATCTCATGTCAAGAGGTATCGGCTTTGGCTTTGGTAGGCTTTGGTGCAGTGAAGTTTTCTATTTGACATTCCATTTGAACCATTTGACCCATTTGACCCATTTGACCCGTCCGATGCGTCCGATCAGACCTGAGGTCCAGTGAGAGCGACTCCTCCAGTAGTGCCAGGGCCCTAATCCCTGGAGCATCCTATCACCTCGGGCAGAGAAGTCCACTGAAACCTTCATGGCACATCCAGTGATCAAAGTTTCAACATCTTCAACCAGTGATCTCTTGTATTGTGCCTCTGAAACAATCACCCCGCAGATTCTTGCAACACTCATCACAAGTTCTTGAAATCCTCACATATCCTCACCATAAAGGTCCAAATATTTTGATGGACTCACGAGCCAAAACGTGCCAAACAGATTTCAGCAAATGGTTCTATAGTATGTATGTACTACAAGTGGTTTGTTTTCTGTTTCGTTTTCCGCTTCGTTTTCGAGGTCCAACATGTTCCAACTGTTTATTTTCAAAAACTCGTTTCACTTCGTTTCACTTCGCTTCACTGGATCCAGGGCTCAGAGTCTGGCAGCTCGGATTCCTCGGGCTCCGCCTCGGCACCGGCCAAGAGGTGGGCAGTTACAGGTTGGTTCAGGTAGATGCGGTTTCTGTGTTTTCAGGTGTTTTCAGGTGTTTTCAGATGTTTTCAGATGTTTTCAGATGTTTTCTCGTGATTCTAGAAGTGACCTTCTAGTGGTTCGCCATGACCGAGAGCTTGAAAAAGTGATGTAAGTCTTGAAAATCGGGTGTGTCAGGAACAGGAGAGAAATGAGTTGGAGCAGGAAGGTTGGCATGGTGCAATCGTAATGCTTCTCTCGGAAAATCACTCGGCTGATCAATCGGCATTTCTTGATTTGTGCGTGTCTCCTTCTGCTTCAATTCTCCTTTTCTTTCTCCTTTTCCTTCTCTTTTCTACTCACTCCAACTTCTATTCAAACTTCTTTCAAAATCAAATCGGCCGTTCTTATTCTTGTTCTCAAAAATTGCCTTCGCTTACACTTCTCGATTTGTCACTTCTCGATTTGTGCAGCTCAGTGCAAAGCAAATGACATGGGAATGCAAAATGCACAGCAAAATGCACGGCGCCCTTTTTTCACGGGTCTTGAGCCACAATTCGTGGCGAGGTTGAAGTCATGACCAAACGTCAAGGTTTGAAGACTCTGTGGTTGAATCTGTCATCAAACGTCAAGCTTTGCAGAAACTGTCTGAACGACAGGCAAGAGGCAAAACACTCCTCCTCAAAAGCTGTGAGCTTCGGGAACTGATTTTTGATTGATCAAAGCTTTGCCAGGACATTCAGTTTCTGCCGGGATTCTTCAAGCTTACATCGTTGCAACACTTTGGTCAAAGCATCTGAAGGGATGTCTGTGCCAGGAATGTGCTGAATGGCAAATCCTTCAGCATGGGCCTGGTCCCGGATGTAAGCACACCTCATGCCAAAGTGGCGTGTGCGAGTGGGCACCGTAGTGTTGGATCCCTTGACCAAATTGGCTACACAAGCAGCGTTGTCACTGCCGAGGAAAGTTTGTATTGGCTGGCCGAGAACCTTTTGCAGAAGGACCTTCACTGGAACACCAACCTGACAAGCAGAAGCTCCAGCATCGACTTCAGCTTCAAAGGCGCTCCAAGCAGTGAGAGCCTGTCTTTGAGATTTCAAGACAGAATGTGGTCACCCCACTTGATTACCACTCCAGTGCGGCTACGGCTGGCTCCTGGGGCCAGGCTAGCATCTCCAAATAGCCACAGGGAATCATCAAAGCAAGACTCCGGGAAGCAAGGCGCAAAGAAGACACCATGGTTTCGAGTGCTGCTCAAATAGCGCCAAATGCCTTGACATAACTTCAGTGCAACTCCGGGATGGATAGCTGACAAGCAGGCCACAGAGCCGACCGTGGCGGCGATGTCTGGGCGACTGCGCAAGGCAAGCCATTGCAAACACCCAACTTCACTCTGGGCTTTCCGCAAAACCTCAGTGTACTGCTGATCGCGGGTCATTGGCTCCAACGTTCCTTCTGGAACAGCAGGCAGTGAGGGACTGCCTTTCATGTGAAGCCAGCCTCGCTTGTTCAATTCTTGGATCAGCCAAGACGTTTGATGTAAAAGCACACCATTGTCGGGACACCTGCGGATCTTGACCCCCAAAAAGTTCAGCTCTTGCTGGACAGGGACGCTCTCGTCACCAACTGGGACGACTGATTCGCCACCAAGCGCGTGGCTGGTCAAGAAACCTTGACACTTCAAATCCCACAATGTTTTCAACTCAGCTCCTAAGGATACCAGCACTTCACGAGGTCCAACCAGCAAGCCATCATCCACATACATCATGAAAAGCCCAACACATTCTCCATCTGCCTGCAGAAGCCATGCGCCAGACTCTAGAGGCTGCATTACAACACTGCCAATGGAAGTGTTGACAACACGGTGGTCCAACATTCGATTTCTTTCTTCTTCCCATAATTTCGGCGCTTTTCGCAAACCATAGATTGCACGCAAAGCAAGCCACAGCACATGTGGAGCTATAAGGCCCATGCGGACCAGTGATGGAGGGGGCCGAATCAAAACTTTGTCATCACCGAGCTCAACATTCAGGAAGGCGCAAGCAATATCCAACACCAGTGCAACCCATTCTGGGTGCCTCACCAACATGGAGATCAGGAGGCGCACAATTTCCTGTGATGGGTTTGCAGAAGAGTTCTCAAGCATGTGAGCCTGTGTATCTGCTTGGTAATTTCCACAAGCCACCAACCTCACCTTGGCCTTCCATGAGCTGTGAGCTACTGCAGAAGCGATTGATGCCGAAGCTTCACTTGGAGCAGGGTCCATCATCGGCTTCCGGGTAAGCACCAACTTGCTTGGAACAGGAATTGGCAGTTCTGACGTGGACGTCAAGCCAAAGAAGTCCTTTGCTTCTTCACGTGTGACTTCGCGAAGAACTTGTTTTTCCATCATGTTGTCCAGCTCTGCCTGAAGTCCATTGATCCACTTGGCTCTCTCCTCCTCAGAGGTGTCATCGCTCCACAAAACTGATTGGGGAACTGCTTCAGCTGAGGTGACAATATCTCGGCTTTGTGCCTCTGTCTGATTCATATCTTCTTCCAAATCAAAGGAGAGAACATGGTAACGGATCCTCTCATCTTGGTTGGACATGTGACTTGAACTGTCGTTGGCCTTGACAGCCTTGCAGGCGAACTTTGGCTCGCCATGGTCTAAAGACAGGAGGTAGCCATGACCAAATTTGCAGAAATCACTCCAGGATGGCTCAGTGTTGCCCATCTGTTTCTTGACCAGTTCAAGAACGTCCCCAGCGCTAAGGTCTGGACCAGCTGTTCTTTCTTCAAAAGTCAGCTGTGGCTGCCCATCTGCTGGTTCATCCCAGCAGAGCTCTCCTGTGTTTGACACCCACACCCTTTGGTCATCCTTGCTTTCAAGCCGCCATGTTTTTGCAGCGGTAGGCGCAACCAAGGGCATGCGGGTCTTGACAATCTGACCACGTTCGCCTGACGGGCGCTTCATCAGGACAAGGGCGCCATTGGGGATAGTTTCATCTTCGCAAAGGAAAACTGCTTCGTCCAATCTGCTGGTGAAATTGTCAGCAGCTACTTTCCTCACCAAAACTTTCTGGCCCACTTTGGGCAGAGCAGCTGGGATGGGCAATCCGAGGGCTCGCTGTCGAGCTATGAACACTCCATGTCTTGCAGCAAAAGGCCAAAAAACCAAAGGCAAACTTCCATGCAACAGACAGCGTGTGGCGTCATCTTTGACTTTCTGCACCATCCGTTCTGCAACGCCATTTGCTTCAGGCGAGTGCGATGCAGTGGTCGTCTTCCAGAGACCTAATGCATGAATCTGTTCTACCATTCTGTTGGCAGCGAACTCTCCCCCGCAATCTGAATGTACTCGGAAGTACACTGCTATGCCTCCAGTCATGGACGATATTTGAGCCATGATGGAAAGCAATGCTTGGAGTACAGTGGCAGACTCCTTGTTCGGCAAAGTTCGAAGAAAGGGTAGCACGGTGCCATTGGAAAGCCTCAGGGCTGTGACAAGCATGTAACGGTGACCATCCACACTGACAGGGTGTGGACCTGACAAGTCCATTGATAGCACTCCGTTAGAAATGCTTTCGGCTGCCAGTCTGCGGTGGGGTCTTCTGTACCCTTTTGACTTCAGACAAGTTTCACACTGCTTGTCGTACAGCCCTTGCTCACAACGAACCCTGAGCTGCTTCAAGGCTTCTTGTTCTGGTGTTGGAACATCATCGGGCAACGTCCCATCTTCCAGATCTGTCCCGTCATCCAAGTCAATGGCAGCAGGTGAAACTGCAGCCTTGCAGGTACTGCACTGACTGGAAGACGCACCCTCTTCTTGGATGCCTGTTTCGGGGACAGGGAAGCCAAGTGCCAGCAACTTCTTTCCGAAGGCATGCATCTCTTCCAAGTCAGATCCCCCTTTGGAAGAAATGGAAAAACCATCTGAGCTGCACACCGCAGGTCCCCGACCGGGAGAAGCAGTAGGACTAGGAGCCCTCTGCTCTGACGTAGAGGAGCTCGGCAAAGGACCTGGGTGCTCAGCGCGTGGCTCATGCAGATTAGCTGCTTGGCATGAAGTAGGCTTCCCTTTCCAAAGCTTAGCCAGCCTCCTCCTTAAGGGCTGGAAATCTGTCCAGCTGAGGTAAGGCAAACGGTTCTTGACCAAAACATCGACTTCGCGGATCTGTCCGTTCTCTTGGGGGACTTGCAGGACTGGGCTTCCACTTTTGCCATCCCAACAAAACTTGCAATGAAGGCCCACTGTGAGCCGCTCCAGAGGCACAATCCATTCTGCACATGTTTGTCCAGAAGCTGGTAAGACCAGCTCACCTTCCCTGGTTCTGTGAGCCGATACCGCTTGGCCATTTGCAAGTGCGACCTGTGTGCTGGACATGTTCTTCATCTGTCTTTGGAGCTCAGGGCGATATGGTCTGATCACTTCATTTGCGCCAGAGTCAATGAGGACCAGCGGCTTCTCCTCATCAGAAACCTTGCACGCTGAACTCTGAGTGGTCGCTGCCATCACCAAGGACCGAACCGAAGAAGCACGAGATTGGCTATCACCACCGTTCTCGGCTGCAGCGGCCTTTGGATTGGACTCAGCAGCCTGCTTTGGCTTGGTCTCGCTGCTCCTTTTGGGAAAAGCCTTTGGAGCCAACTTTGGCTTTGGGGCTGCTTTTGGTGTCACATGGGGGTACTTGCATGCATCCCCGTGCCTGCAGCTGCCAAGCACAAAGAATCTGCAAGGAGACAAATGAGAGAATGCACACTGGTCGCCCTTCTTGCAGTTTCCACGTGCAAAAAACTGACAGAAACTGGGCGCTGCTGGCTTTGCTGCAGCTTTGGCCTCTGCTCGGAACACTGTTTCCAAGGTTCCTTGCCTGTTGAACTTTGTACGCTCATCTGCCTGGAGGATTCGAACTTCTTCTTCTACTTGTGCCAACATACTCTGAACTGCCGCATCTTTGCGGCCTGCGGATCTCTGGTGCCATGCGGAGAGCCTGCAACTTGAATCTCAAAACCTCAGACTTTCTTTCAAGCTTCTGGAGAATGCCATCCATGGCTGACAACTTCTCATGCGGTGAAAGGGGCGGCAAGCCAAGAGTGGAAAGGCGCGACACCGCCAGTTGCCACCGCCGCAACACTTTGAAGGCCTCATCAAAGGTCTGGGAAGTGGGCGGCGAACGAACCCACTGCTGCAAAGACTTCACTTCCTCCTTGCCGCCAGGGTTCAACACTTCCAACAAAGAGACAGCAGCTTCTGGCTGGTCACCTTGGCCCGGGTTGAGTATTCAAAAACGGGACGTTTCACTTCTTCTGGCAATGTCCTCATCAGGACAATGCAAAACCGGCTCTCAAAGTCAGAGGAGAGATGCCCAGCGCATGTGGATGCAGACCACATGCCTTCATCCAGGTACTCATACGTTGAAAGCTTTCCCATCTGCCTTTGCTCATATACATTTTCTGCCTGCTGAAATTTCTCTTGCAAGAAAAGAGCCCACCTCTGACCAACTGCATGTGCAATTGCCAGAAACTCAGCTTTCCACACGCTAAGTTGGAGTGCTCTTTCCCAGGATTCCCCAGGAGCAATCTCAAGCTTGGGCACGTCTTTCAGCGGTTTCCACACGCCATCCCTTTTGTAGTCTACGCCATCGTCGACAGTTTGTTGGATCAAGGGCGCTGAAGACCGCGCAGGCTCTGTCTGCTTGCGCTGCTGAGACGTGGCCAAGCCAGGCGGCTTAAAGCCAGCAGGATCTTCACACTCCCACCATGCTTTGTCATCATCGTCATCATTTTGCCACTGTTCATCTTTTGAAGGTGTCAAAAGAAAGTGCTCTGGCTGAGCAGGTTTTGTAGTAGGCGACAAGTAGCTTGTTTCCACTTGCCCCTGCTGAGAGTTTGCAGTCTGCAGAATGCGATGATCCAGGTAGTTCATTCTGGCCATCGCTGCTTGGTGCCGATCTTCCAGCGTGCTGAAGCGCAATTCAGCATGTTCATTGGCGCTCCGCGCGCTGACTGCCATGTCTTTCATGGATGTTCTGTGCTCATTCAGGGAGGCCTGCATCGCTGTCATTGCTTGCTGCATTGATGCCATAGCCGTTCCCATCCTGTCCAGAGTATGCTCCAAGCTCTTTTGACGGTCTTCTTGTGACTTGAAGTATACCTGAAGTCTTTCAGCTAGTGCTTGTTCTCTTTGGATGCTTTCTGTGAGCTGCTGCTCCAACATCTTCACACGGTCGCTGAGCCCTTGGGTGCTTGTGGCCACACTTTGTACAGCACCAGCAAGAATCTCAGTTCGACCTTTGACTTGGGAAGCTATCTCGCGGATAGCCGCTGACATCTCTACCCCTTCGTCCACCATCATTGGTTCAGAGGCTGCATTCGCAAGGTGTGCTAGCTGCTGTAACAACTCAGGAGCCACTGTAACTTCTGACATCTCCACCCTTCGCAAGTGCATTGGAAAAGGTGGGACTGGAGGTAAGCCGGAAGTGGTAGAGCCAGTGTTTGGGCTCATGACCTGAAAATCGGGTGTGTCAGGAACAGGAGAGAAATGAGTTGGAGCAGGAAGGTTGGCATGGTGCAATCGTAATGCTTCTCTCGGAAAATCACTCGGCTGATCAATCGGCATTTCTTGATTTGTGCGTGTCTCCTTCTGCTTCAATTCTCCTTTTCTTTCTCCTTTTCCTTCTCTTTTCTACTCACTCCAACTTCTATTCAAACTTCTTTCAAAATCAAATCGGCCGTTCTTATTCTTGTTCTCAAAAATTGCCTTCGCTTACACTTCTCGATTTGTCACTTCTCGATTTGTGCAGCTCAGTGCAAAGCAAATGACATGGGAATGCAAAATGCACAGCAAAATGCACGGCGCCCTTTTTTCACGGGTCTTGAGCCACAATTCGTGGCGAGGTTGAAGTCATGACCAAACGTCAAGGTTTGAAGACTCTGTGGTTGAATCTGTCATCAAACGTCAAGCTTCGCAGAAACTGTCTGAACGACAGGCAAGAGGCAAAACAAGTCTGATCTGTACCAAGTTTGGTACACATTTCTGCAAGTTCGGATATTTCATCATATTTCATCTAGGGTCCTCAAGTGAAATATCGGGATGGTTCATTGCTTCCAAGCTTCCAATGCGCCAGGAAATGAATCTGAGCGGCTGCGTCCCTCAGCTGCAGCTGTGCAGCTGGGATCGGACAATGATTCCTTCGGAACAGTCATCACCCTGAAACCATTCGCTTGCCACCGGGCAGTGTATTAGATGCGAAAAAAAAGGTCATGGGAGGCATGGGATGGAGATGAATGGAGTGCTGACGAAAGGCCATGCCATAGGCACTTTGCTACAGCCCTGTCTGTTGGCTGTTTGTCTACACAATACAGATTGAGTCTGACCACACGACTCCTGTGATCTTGGCTCCTGAGTTCCACTCATTGGAAGACTCAACCGGTTCATGCATCTACACTGAATTCTAGATGGTAAAACCAAGATGCATTTTGATAGTGCAATGGTGCATATGGTGCAATAGTAGTGCTAAAAGGCAAACGACAAACTCAGCCAAATACCGCAAGAATCCAGTGAGCCACAGTTGCTAGCTTGAGTTCCAGGGTGCACTGTGCAGAGTTTGGGTAAATAAGGTATATTTTTTTTTTTCATGCTTGCCATCCACTAGTCAGCCTACCCCCTCCCTACACTTCATAACAAAAGCTGCCATGCATCGCCTCAGGCAAGGTTGCTTCCATTTTGTGCACTTAAAGATCAGCCGTTCTTTGCTTCCTGCACTTTCCAGTAACCTGTGCAAGCATGTGAGTAACCTTTACAGTCATCTCCGTGAGTAAAAAAAACAACATGTCAAGAAAATACATATTTTTTGGACTTTCCAGTGCAAAGATTGCGGCAACCGTGCAGGTGAATTCTAAACAGTCTCCATGGGAAACGGGAAGAGAATGTGGAGGCGCGGTTGCTGCCATCTGTTGCACTTGAAGATATCCATAGTTTTGCTTGCTTTCCAGTGCACAGATTGCGGCAACCGTGCAGGTGAATTCTAAACAGTCTCCATGGGCAACGGGAAGAGAATGTGGAGGCGCGGTTGCTGCCATCTGTTGCACTTGAAGATATGCGTAGTTTTTGCTTTCTTTCCAGTGCACAGATTGCGGCAACCGTGCAGGGGAATTCTCAACAATTCTCAACAGTCTCCATGGGCAACGGGAAGAGAATGTGGAGGCGCGGTTGCTGCCATCTGTTGCACTTGAAGATATGCGTAGTTTTTGCTTTCTTTCCAGTGCACAGATTGCGGCAACCGTGCAGGGGAATTCTCAACAGTCTCCATGGGCAACGGGAAGAGAATGTGGAGGCGGGGTTGCTGCCATCTGTTGCACTTGAAGATATCCATAGTTTTGCTTGCTTTCCAGTGCACAGATTGCGGCAACCGTGCAGGTGAATTCTAAACAGTCTCCATGGGCAACGGGAAGAGCATGTGGAGGCGCGGTTGCTGCCATCTGTTGCACTTGAAGATATCCATAGTTTTGCTTGCTTTCCAGTGCACAGATTGCGGCAACCGTGCAGGTGAATTCTAAACAGTCTCCATGGGCAACGGGAAGAGCATGTGGAGGCGCGGTTGCTGCCATCTGTTGCACTTGAAGATATGCGTAGTTTTTGCTTGCTTTCCAGTGCACAGATTGCGGCAACCGTGCAGGGGAATTCTCAGCAGTCTCCATGGGCAACGGGAAGAGCATGTGGAGGCGCGGTTGCTGCCATCTGTTGCACTTGAAGATATGCATAGTTTTTGCTTTCTTTCCAGTGCACAGATTGCGGCAACCGTGCAGGGGAATTCTCAACAGTCTCCATGGGCAACGGGAAGAGAATGTGGAGGCGCAGTTGCTGCCATCTGTTGCACTTGAAGATATCCATAGTTTTGCTTGCTTTCCAGTGCACAGATTGCGGCAACCGTGCAGGGGAATTCTCAACAGTCTCCATGGGCAACGGGAAGAGAATGTGGAGGCGCGGTTGCTGCCATCTGTTGCACTTGAAGATATCCATAGTTTTTGCTTTCTTTCCAGTGCACAGATTGCGGCAACCGTGCAGGGGAATTCTCAACAGTCTCCATGGGCAACGGGAAGAGAATGTGGAGGCATTGCTGCCATCTGTTGCACTTGAAGATATCCATAGTTTTGCTTGCTTTCCAGTGCACAGATTGCGGCAACCATGCAGGGGAATTCTCAACAGTCTCCATGGGCAACGGGAAGAGAATGTGGAGGCGCGGTTGCTGCCATCTGTTGCACTTGAAGATATCCATAGTTTTGCTTTCTTTCCAGTGCACAGATTGCGGCAACCGTGCAGGGGAATTCTCAACAGTCTCCATGGGCAACGGGAAGAGAATGTGGAGGCGCGGTTGCTGCCATCTGTTGCACTTGAAGATATCCATAGTTTTGCTTGCTTTCCAGTGCACAGATTGCGGCAACCGTGCAGGGGAATTCTCAGTAGTCTCCATGGCAACGGGAAGAGAATGTGAAGGCGCGGTTGCTGCCATCTTGTTGCACTTGAAGATAATTGCGGCAACCGTTGCTGCTTTCCAGTGCAGATTGAACATGCAGTGAGTTTGCTTCACTTTCTCCAGTGCACAGATTGCGGCAACCGTGCAGGGGAATTCTCAACAGTCTCCATGGGCAACGGGAAGAGAATGTGGAGGCGCGGTTGCTGCCATCTGTTGCACTTGAAGATATGCGTAGTTTTTGCTGTGCACAGATTGCTGTTGTGGGCAATGGGAAGAGAATGTGAAGGCGCGGTTGCTGCCATCTGTTGCACTTCAAGATATCCATAGTTTTTGCTTTCTTTCCAGTGCACAGATTGCGGCAACCGTGCAGGGGAATTCTCAACAATTCTCAACAGTCTCCATGGGCAACGGGAAGAGAATGTGAAGGCGCGGTTGCTGCCATCTATTGCACTTGAAGATATCCATAGTTTTGCTTGCTTTCCAGTGCACAGATTGCGGCAACCATGCAGGGGAATTCTCAACAATTCTCAACAGTCTCCATGGGCAACGGGAAGAGAATGTGGAGGCGCGGTTGCTGCCATCTGTTGCACTTGAAGATATGCATAGTTTTTGCTTTCTTTCCAGTGCACAGATTGCGGCAACCGTGCAGGGGAATTCTCAACAATTCTCAACAGTCTCCATGGGCAACGGGAAGAGAATGTGAAGGCTCGATTGCTGCCATCTGTTGCACTTCAAGATATCCATAGTTTTTGCTTTCTTTCCAGTCAGTGCACAGATTGCGGCAACCGTGCAGGGGAATTCTCAGCAGTCTCCATGGGCAACGGGAAGAGAATGTGAAGGCTCGATTGCTGCCATCTGTTGCACTTCAAGATACCCATAGTTTTGCTTGCTTTCCAGTGCACAGATTGCGGCAACCATGCAGGGGAATTCTCAACAGTCTCCATGGGCAACGGGAAGAGAATGTGAAGGCGCGGTTGCTGCCATCTGTTGCACTTCAAGATATCCATAGTGTTTGCTTTCTTTCCAGTGCACAGATTGCGGCAACCGTGCAGGGGAATTCTCAACAGTCTCCATGGGCAACGGGCAGAGAATTTGCAGGCGCGGCTGCTGCCATCTGTTGCACTTCAAGATATCCATAGTTTTTGCTTGCTTTCCAGTGCACAGATTGCGGCAACCGTGCAGGGGAATTCTCAGTAGTCTCCATGGCATACGGGAAGAGAATGTGAAGGCGCGGTTGCTGCCATCTGTTGCACTTGAAGATATCCATAGTTTTTGCTTGCTTTCCAGTGCACAGATTGCGGCAACCGTGCAGGGGAATTCTCAACAGTCTCCATGGGCAACGGGAAGAGAATGTGAAGGCGCGGTTGCTGCCATCTGTTGCACTTGAAGATATGCATAGTTTTTGCTTGCTTTCCAGTGCACAGATTGCGGCAACCGTGCAGGGGAATTCTCAACAGTCTCCATGGGCAACGGGAAGAGAATGTGAAGGCGCGGTTGCTGCCATCTGTTGCACTTGAAGATATCCATAGGTTTTTTCTTTCTTTCCAGTGCACAGATTGCGGGAACCGTGCAGGGGAATTCTCAACAGTCTCCATGGGCAACGCGAAGAGAATGTGAAGGCGCGGTTGCTGCCATCTGTTGCACTTCAAGATATCCATAGTTTTTGCTTTCTTTCCAGTACATTCTTCACTTGCTCAGTTTTGCACCAGGCTTGTTTGGTTGCATTTAAGCTGCAGTCTGATGTTCTATGTCTTGGTTCTTAAATGGTGTATTTTCGCTTTTTTACGCACTCATCCACCAGTGTCAGGAACATTGGCCAGGAACAGCTGGAGCTGAGTGCCATGTCTCACAATAAATCTGTGAGATTGCAGGAATTGCAGGAAGCACCAATCAACAAGAATCCTTTTGCAGGAAGACCCAGCTGTTGTTCCGAGCTCTTCCTGGCAGAACCCTAATTCTTTCTGGCAGGAACAACCTGCCTGACTGTTTGTTGCAGAAAATTCCGCTACCCAGCGAAGCTTTGGTCCTTATTTTTGGGTTTTGACATTTTGTGAAAGCCAAAGACAAGGTGTCTCTTTTTTCAGTTTCCGTTGAAGGGCAGTGTGAAATCCAGCCTACTATTGCATTCAAGATCTACTGAGAAGTAATCATGCCCATGACAATTCCACTACTTGAGTATGCTCAACTTGCTGTTTTGTCAGTTTTGTCAGTTTTGTCTTGTTTTGTCAGTCTTGTTCTGTCCTTTCTGATGCCTGGATGTCCCACCATAGCCATCGGACGCTTCAACCATTGGATGCCATGGCTTGGAAGTGCGACGAAAGCAACTCGCCATGGTTGATTGAGGTGAGCTGAGACATCCCACCTACGCAACTGGATATTTGCAGTGTGTTATAATGTTATAGTAAACCTTTTATTTGGGTAGATGGCTAGTTTTTTGCGCAGTCGAAGGGGTTTTATTTCCCACACAACTTCCAACAGGATCGTATCAGTCTTTGTCTCGCAGCCATGGCGTCATCTGCTTTCCTGAGTCAGAGTTCAATTTCATGGAATTTTTGATCCACCACTGGACAGAATAAAATTGTGTTGTTTGAAACATTTTGAAACCAGATGATGCTTCGGAACTATTTTGTTCCCTTTCCATCAGAGTCATCCATTTGGTATACCCGCCTTGACCGCCTTGACCGCCTTGCCTGGTCTCGGAATCCTTGGCCATCAAGGTGACCTTGGTCGACCACGCGGATTTCTTCCTTTTGAGGTGGAGCGTGAACTGCAGAA